TTATGTAATTTTTCCAAAATTAGATGTGTGTAAAATGGATATAACTACCTCCACCATGATCCAGCAATACTTGCAACATTTACTGGCTTGTGGGTAATGATTAAAATATTATACTGGCTAATTTGACCCAAGAGCTCAAGGCAAGGCATAATCAAAGACTTTTTAATTATAGCATGGAATGTGACCCGAATCCTTGACCCCACACACTTTTTACTAATTGAACACTTCATCTAAATTAATTATTTCTTTCACATAATATATTTATTGAATAAATATCTAACAATCATGGCCACAGACATGTTGTTTTGGAAGTTGTCAATAGGCGATGGTTTGTGGATATTGACAGTGACTAATGGCTTGCAGTTGAAATTTGCTACAGTGGCTTGATCGGTGGTGTTTAGTAGGACTGTAAGTAAAAATCGCCAAAAAAAAAAAATCGAACAGAAACCGCATTTTAAAAATCGTCGGTTTGGTACCATGTGGACCCATCAACAAAATGATTTTGACCCCGGTTTGGTTTAGGTTTGAGAATTTTAATTGCGATTTTAAACCAAACCGAACCGTTGAAAAAATAAAAAAATGATTTTTTTTTTTGAAAATTCTTCCAAATATGTAAAATTCAATAGTTTTGTGACCTTTGTTATTTGTGGATATTTTTGTCAATTTTTAATTTTCTATTACCCTAATTGGTTATTATTATTTTTTTTTTTCAAGTTTTAATTTCTATCTTGGGCTAAGGACCTCAAAAGCCATGTAAGCTCCAAAATAGAAAAGAGGAAGGATTTGGATTTGAACTATATTATTTAGGAGTTCATTAGGTGCATCGATGGTTGAAGCTTGTATATGAGGAACGAATTGGTTGCAAACTAAGAAGGAACCTATAGTGTTACGCCAATATTTAGATGAAGTGGAGGCATTCGATGATTCAAAGAAAGTTTCGGCATGTGATTTACATTTTCTATTACCATATTTTGAAGATTCTCTTATCTATCTAGTATCTAATACTATGATGATTTAATGAATGCATTTGTTTGACTATACAGACGATGTACCATGTGTGACAACAATTGATGTTTGAGTATATGCGAGAAATTGAGTTCGTAACAATATACAACTGTAAGCTTGTGTAATTGTTATATTTAAATATTATAAACAATTGCTTTATTATTATGGGTCGTTATTCTCTTTGTCTAGGCCTAGTTTGGTAGTC